GGCATGAGAATGTGATCCAGTCCTGGCCAGCGGAATCTGATGGTAGGACTGAAGGGTTCTCCAGGAGAGGTATGCCTCTGTGATAAAAAGAAACGCATGAGGGAGTGCCTCCTCCGGGTGTTGGGTGTAGTAGTGTCCAACATCCAGAATTGCAGCCACCTTATAATCAGGGAGGCTATAATGACATAGCAGTCATGCTGAAGATGGCAAAGTGGAAAGATGGAAAGCACCTGGGCCTATGCAGCATGGAGAACAGCCCTGAAGCTGTCTCATCTCTGGACTTCTCGCTAGGTAAGATAATAAGTGTCCTTAATATTTAAGCCACTTTAACTTAGCTACTCTCTTACTTGCAACTAAAAGCATCCTAACTCTCAAGTCCCAAGAGGCATTGCCACGGAGAAAAAAGAGTTCTGGAATTTGCATCAAATGACCTGGGTTTCTACCTGGAATAGTGAGTTGAACATGGCTCACTATTAATTGGCCCAGGTGACCCAAATTGCTTAATCACTCTGAATCTCATTTTCCATATCTGCAAGATGGAGATAACATGCAATAACACAGTAACATCAATAAAATGAAGATAATGTGGGATAATTATGAAAATCACCTGAGATAATGTGAATGTAACCACTCGGTTGATAGCCCTGTTTTGCTCAAATGCAATTTTCCTATGTAATAATTAAACCAGAGACTTTTAAAACTGTTGTCATTCTTCTAACCCAACTCCTTTAATTTACAAATAAGAAATGACTCACTCAATGTCACACAACTGGTTGCTAACATAATTAAATCACACATTTGATTCCAAGCCAATGCTATCATGCTATCCTTGTGTTGAAAGCTAAATTAAATATTGTGTAGGTTAGCTCTTATTCATTTAATGAACACATAAAATAATACAGACACTACTCCAGGTATTAGGGACTCCATGGTGAACAACATCAACAACAAAAATGTCCCTACCCTTGTGAATTTAATAGACTAGAAAGGAAATTATTCAATCTGTACCTTTATTTACTGAGTTCTTATTATGTGAAAAGCACTATGCTGGGACTGCTGTTCAAATGCAAACACAAATTCAAAACATGTCATCCATGTTCACCAGGTTTTGCTAAAGATGAATAATGTAAAAAAGTCTAAATTTTACTCAATTGATATTAGTATTAAAAATGGCAAGTTTATTAGAAAGAGTTGTGAATATCTGTGCCAGTTTCTGAAAAATGGATAAAGGATGGCTAGGACTCTGCTGTAATTAAAGCAGCAAGATTGAATGAAAAAAGAGGGGTAGGGCTAAACCTACATCCTCCTACAATATCTGAACCTCAAGGTTTGGCTCAAATGGAAAAAGCCAATAGGGAGCATTCAGCGACTCCTTCCCTTCCTTGAGCCTCTATCCAGTGCTCCCCTTTTACTCCAAATTTATTTGGAATTCCTTTTCCATTTTACTTAAATATTTACATGTAAATGAGATGATGGGACAGCATCCTATACAACTGATGAGACAGAGATAGTGACTTCCAAATTTCCTACTGGAACTAGCCACGAGGGTGCTGAGACTAAGCTGTTAGTTTGTGTATTTGAAAGTTTTCTTTTCAAATACAATAAAATTATCACTTGGGAAAGAAATATTTAAAATCTGTTGTTTTGCAACATCTTTTCATTTAAAAAAAACTAGTAAATGCAAATATCCTGCGGTAGAGGGAAGTAGCAAGTAGAATACTCGCCTTCTGCCTTTTGTGGAAAGTACACTGAGAGGACAAAACCTTTTCATGTGTTCCTCTTTATATCACACCCTGTAATCAAAGCACAGCCAGGCAAGTCCCCCTTAGCTTCTAGCTTCATCTTTTAATGCACAGGGATAATTTGAGGTGCCACAATCTTAAATATAAAAATATAGTGTGGCATAGATTTCTTGAAGGCAAACACCAAATCTCCTGAGAGCAGAAATGACCCCCAGAGGCCTTTGGATTGTGGTGTTCAATCAGCTCTGGGCTACCAGCTTTCCTATCAGACTCTGGGTACGTTAAATTTGCAAACTGGCAGGGAGGATCACTTCGACCTCACTAATCATGAGTCTCGACTGGCCTTTCACTGGTGCAAACCCCATACCTTGGGTGTATTGACTTCAGTGTCTGGAAGTGTCACTGAAAGTTGGGCAATTTAACTATGGGGTAATATGTCAAAAATATACATGAGCTTTGGATCCAAACAATTTTGGGGTTTGAATGCCAGAAACTCAAGCCTCTTTTTAGAGATGTAGTCTTGGACAAGTCACTTAAAATCTCAGTGTCTCTGTTTTTTTTATCCATAAGATGGAAACCATACCTATCTAAAGGTTGTAGTAAAGACTAGATCTAATAAGTGCAAAGGGCTGTCACGTGCAAGATACTCAAAACTGGTACCTAGAGTTTTTACGTGGTCCCAAACAACAATCTGGAAGATTTCTACCATGTCCTGAATTCATCTCCAGAGCAGCCACCTTCCAGCACCTTGCCAAGGGAACCTATTTGAGTAGATGTCTTTCTTTCAACCTGGGGTACTCACTTACAAGGAAGGCAGACTGATCCTTGGAAGGATCTTTCCAAGGATTCCTGACCTGAGTTTCTCCACTTGTTCTGGGCTCCACAGATAGCACCTGAACCTTGGAGAGAACAGGGGTCAGATAGGCACCAGGTGTGAGAGCTCCTAACTCAGGCAGACAGGTATGGGCTATGGTGGGAGGGTGTGCCTCTCTGTGATAGTCCATACAGTCCTTTAACTTTTTGTTCCCTGGAAGGGAGAGGGAAGGAAGGGAAAGGAAGGAGAAAAGAATGGAAGGAAGAAACACAAGTGGATTTTCCCAAAATAAGTGCTGATGCCTCTAAGTATTTTTGATTTGTTTTTTAAATACTATTGTTCTCTAAACAAACTGGGATAAACCTAGATGATACCTGGAAGCAAAATTTTAATTCTTGTTTGGAATACTCTAAGAAGTATTATGTCCAAAATCATCAAAATAAAAAGGTTTAATTCATTTTGATTGGTTAAATAATATCACCATCTGGGGACAGGAGAGGCAGAAAAAAATGTGTCATGATTTTTTTAATCAATGTCAAAATCAACATTTTGGAATACAAAATTTAACCTGTTTGACATCAGTTGGGCTATAAAAATTAAAACTTTCCAAATTGTTATTAGGCTAAGAAACTTGATTGCTTCCTAGAACTATAGAAAACAAATGCTTGTCCTTTGGGGGCTACTTATCTATTCTAAGGAAGGAAGAGTTGGTCTTAAAGGAGAGAAAGAAAAAACAAATGTCAATTCCATCTTATTCAGAGAAAGTAGAGGGCTGAGAGACTGGGAGAGACCACAACAGCCTCACAGTCTACTGTTGGCCCCTTTATTATCTGCACATTCATTATGACTTAAGTCACCCATACATCCACTTTAGCACTTCAAGCAAAACATGCAAACCTCTCTCTGGATCACAAGACAGTACATGCCAAACATTTCTGCACAACCATGGTGGCAGCAGAAAAACTGCCTAGCCTGCTAATCCTTTTATTATTAAGTTTAGCAGTGGTGCTTAGCTCAGAATGAAATTTCAAGATTCTTCAGAAAATTCAACCAGAGCCTACTTTCCTGCGAGATCATAGGGCATCACATCTCTGTCTTGAAACCTGTCTGGCTATGAGCTTACAGATGAATTGCACTGTCCTAGTGCCATAAACTCCATATATATATAAAGGTTTAATTCGTTTTGATTGGTTAAATGATGACACCATCTGGGGACGTTAGATTTTTTTTCTAATAGGTAGGGAAAGACCTTTCATTCATATATGGTTAACACACAGTCTAGAGAGGATTCCTGCCACTGGGAGACGCTGCCCCATTCACCTCTCACAGGCATGGTCCTGGAACCTAAAGACTCAAGACTGGTAGGTGAGAAGAGGAAATCCCAGAAATAATTAAAAATTTTTGAAGTCAGAAGCTAATAGTACCGAGCCCCTGACACGACCTTTCCAGATTGTGTGCTCCTAGTGGGGCATCTTTGGGATCAGGGAAAGAGGCACAGACTTGCCTATATATATACACGCATCGCAAATGCACACACACGTGTGCATGCACACACACACACTCGCAGTTCACACTAGATCTGCAAGCCCAAAGGCACTTACTACCCAAGGAAAGGGATGCCAGCAAAGATGTATTTGCCAAAGCAACAGCGCATTCTCTACATTGGGCAATAGTGAATGTCCGTCAAGATTCCAAAGGACTCTTTTTTCCAGGACCCGGTTCTCTGCAGGATTCCCCATTGCTGGCATCACAAATCCTTATCCTTTCTCCGAAAAGCTCGGATTTCACGTGTTCCTCTCGAGGTAGCTCCAGTTCAACCCTGTGCGCATCGCACTTCTCAAAGCTGGAGCCCAAGGCTACCCAATCTTTCTCACTCTGGGGAAACTTCGACATTGCCCCACACAGAGAAGTAAAGACCACTGGCAGAGGGGCAGGAGGGAGCCGGAAGAGGGTCCCTAGACTGAGGGCACCTTTGGAGCCTGGGCGCGGGAGAGAGAAATGAGTGAACCCGGACTGGTGCATGCCTTATCCACGTGGAGAAAGGGAGGAAACAAGAGTGGGCGACAGGCAAGTGTCCCTCTCAGCTCGCGGGGCTCCCACTTCCTGGTGAAGCAGGGTCAGAAGGGGCCAGGGGCCCCCGGAGGTAATTTTACCCAGCTCCCCCAACCTGGGGACAGCGAGACAGGAGTGCAAGGTGCATGTCAGGTAAGGGGCCCGGGCGCAGATAAGGTGCGCCTGGAGCCTGCGGAGGACCATGCCCTCATGGCTGGCATTTAAAGACCCCAGCCTCGGAGGGCAAACGAGGAGAAATCTGGCTTTCTAGCCGGACTCCTGAGCTCGGGTGGGTTTCCTACCCGCGCACGCCCACCCTCAGAGCACCCCTTCAGCCCTGCTCCCGGGAGGAGTACCCCGCGCCCTGCACCCTCTCCGGGTGCTTCCCTCACCTGGATGTGGCAGGAGATCTCCGAGTCGTCCAGCAGCCGGATGGTGCATTTCATCTCCTGGTTGAGCGATTTGATGCTGGAGCTCCGAAAGTGGATCATTTTCATGGTCCTCCTGCCTCTCCGCACACAGTGGCAGGAAGCGAACATGCACCGCAGCAACCGGGAGCGAGCGAGAGGCTAGGGCCGGCGCGGCGCGGCGCTCACCGGCGCGGACACACACACTGGCTCACGCAGCGTCCGGGACACCAGGGCGCGGCTCAGCCGGGGGACAGCGGCAGCGTCGGATGCCTGCGGCCACACATGCTGGGCAGCCTGGGCTTGGCGGGCGGGTCCCTCTCTCCTCCCTCCTCCCTCCTCCTCCCTCCCCCTCCCTCTCCTCGGCCTCGCCCGCTTCTTTCCCCGCCTCCTCCTGTCGCGCGCGCTAGTGCGCCTCCCTTCGCCAGGGCTGGATCGCAAAGGATGCACAGAGCCCGCGACCCCCAGCGGGCGCGCTACGCACTCACTCCCACGCGCACCGAGCCGCTGGAGGCGAAGGCGGAGGGACAGCTGTTTTGGGTGGCCCAGGAGCCCTAGCAGTGGCCTGCTCCGCCGCCGCTGCGTCAGGCTGGGCCCCAAGCATTCCTCGGCCTCTCCGCCGCCTCCTTTGCTGGCAGCTATTGATCTGGCTCCTGGTAGTGGTTTGTCCCAGTCCGGAGGGCCACCCTAGGCGCCCGACAGCACCCCGCACTGCTCCGCCCTAGAAACCTGGCCGCGAGCAAAAGGCGAAGAAGGATCCTGACCCACTCCCGCAAGGGGGATTCCACTGCGGGAAAGGATTGTTGAGTAGATGGAGAGCCCCCAAAGAGTGACAGGAGGCAAGCTACTCCAGAAATACCGCTAATAGTAACAATGTCTGTTCCTCATGGGGATTTTTTTAAACCGTTGGTTTACTTTATATTAACTGGGAGTCAATCCCCTTCTTTAAGAAATTTAGAGATTTCCTCAAGCAATTTCTTGTTTATACCTCCCAACGTCTCAGTATAATGTGTGGTTGTACATTAAACCCTGACAAGAAGGATCCCTATCCTGCTCTTCTCCCTTTAGAGAATCTCCTTCACCTCCAGTTGCCCAGGAATGTAATGGCAAAGGAGATGTGTCTCATCCCGTTTTACACCAATCTCTGCGTGCGGGGAACCCTATGATCTCTTGGGAAATTGCTATCATTCCCAGAGGAACACAAGCCCCTGTGTGATGTTCCCTAGGCCCAATTGGGTGACCAACTGTAGCCTTTAAGGCAGCTATATGGAGCTTAGAGGTGGAGACTTGGATAATAGAATAGAAACTGATGGGAACCCTCTTGCCCTGCTGCCCTTTCTTGAACATAAAGGAATGTTTGTTAGAGGAAGGACTTGCCCAGCTCTTTCAAGGTTTGCCACACCTGCCAGGAGCCCCCTCATCCAAAGGTGTGTCAGGTCCTGTGGAGAAGGCAAGGTCCAGGAATTTTACCTACCACGGTACTGTGTAATAGGCCACAAATGCTGTAGGACACCTGGTGGGGTTGACTGTGGCTAGGTGCTTGCATTGCCTATGGACTTCTCCCTCTACCTGCTCCTGTTTCCTCCCCTCCTTCATCATAATAAACATCCCACAGGCTAGTGTCTGCTTCTGGATTCACCAAACTGCAACAATTTGTCCAGATAGGAAGATAGAGTATGTTTATTATAACATTTGATAGCTGGATTTTGACTTTTAAATACTTGGAAATAGTACATGAGCCATCTTATATACTCTTCTCCTGGGGCTTCGAAAATTAGGGCAGAACCTAAAGGAGAAGTCAGGGTCTAGCAAGATATTGATTTGATTCTTGGCCCAGCTACTGCCCACTCTGTGGATCTTGGAAAGTCTCATCATTTCTTTTCTCAATGCCAAAGGGGAATACAGCTGCCTCCCCTCTCACAGGTGAGAAGCTGGGATGAGACAAGGCCAGTGGAGCACAGGTTACTATTTGTAACCTGCAAAGCCACATATGTATATATGAAGTGTCAGTGATGATAGCCACTCTAGTTTGAAAACTGCAACTATGTTTGAATCATCTCTCCCAACCCAAAAAGTAGGTAGCCAAGAAATCAAAGAAAAGTCACCACCCAACATAATCCATGATTTTCCTCCAAGTCCACACACTTATTCATCTTATTATAGTGATCATTAGGCTCCAAATTACTATCTCATATTTCAAAGAAGAAAAAAAGGCCCAAAAAGGACAGTATGTAGAAAGACAAAACAAAGATCATCCAATGTGGTTCTGCAAGAAACAGAGTTTGAGGATATGAGAAGAATCTGAGATTGGGTATCTGCCCTATTTAGGAATAAAGGCTCAGATTTCAAGTAGTATAAAAATATGGGCTCTGGAACCCCTTAGCATGTGTCAGGGGGAAAACAGCTAAGTACATTACCTTTTACCTGAATTGAAGTACCCACTGAAGACAAGTCTTTGGGAAATCAAGTGTCCAAAATCTTGTCCTATGGGAAATCATTGTCCAAAATAATAATAATAATAATAATAATAATAATATAATTAAGAAGAAGAAAAAGAAGAAAGAGGAACTAAAAATGAACTCACAAGAATGAGTTTAAACCTGAACTACTTAAAGAAAATCAAGGATACTCTCAGAGTCCTAAATATTCAGCTCAAGACTAAAAGAAGCTGTATTCTTTCTTGTGTTAGCTTTGCACTGCCATGGCCAACTGCCTTAGTCTGGCTGGGCACAAATAACCGGGAGGTCACGAGCCACTTGTAGATTCAAGCAGGAATGAACTTTATTCCAGAACCCAATGGGAACTCCAAGAGAACTCAACAGGAACTCAATGGGAACTCCGCGAGAACTCAAAAGTAGCAGGCACCTGAGGCAGCAAGAACCTCCCCATTGCCAGACAGCAGAGGTCTACATATACAACTGAACACACAGCTCGTCCCAACCCAGAATCATCCAGTTACAGCAATCAGTCATCATCCCAAAAATTATGCACAGCTTAACCCAATTATCACCATCCCAATAGCTCGCCGGGGTTACCTCCCAACCACTCCTTCTGGCAAAATGCCAGGCACCATCCTGACTTGCTTGTGGCTCTCAACAGCCAACATCCCTACATACCTGACAAGAAACAGGGGAAGAAACGTTTATTTTGGACTACAGTTTTAGAGGTTCGGTTCATGGTTTACCAACTCCATTGCTCTGGGTCCTGAGGTGAAACAGAACATCATGGTAGAAGAGGTGGCAGAGGAAAGTATCTCAAACATGGCAACCAGAAAGGAGTGGAGAGGGGGGAGGTCAAGGGATAATATAATCCCCAAGGGTACACCCTCATTGACATACTTCCTCCAGCCTCCTCCTCCCTGCCTACAGTTACCCACATTAATCCATTCAAATTATCAATCCATCAAATGGATTCATCCACTAATTACATTATAGCTCTCATAATCTAATCATTTCACCTCCGAAATGCTTTGTCTCACACATGGGTTTTATGGGGGCATCTCATATCCTAAGCATTTCTATAACAGAGCTGAAAGAAATTTTTATTAATTGAAATACAAGACTAAAACAACAAAAAAAACAAACTTAAAACTTCATCTACAAGTTGCCAAATTATAAAGTCAATTTAATCATCAGCCTCATCAGATTTCATAAGTGAAAGACTTAGCATCAGAAAAGAGTGGGACTCTGGAAATAAGAATAGAACTATAAAAGAGAATTTGGATGATTCTTAGTAACTCAAGCCCAAGCACTTCTTGAGAGCAATAGCAGACCTTCTTACCTTATGTAATGAGGTGTTCCTGCCTTGTTTGAAGACCCTATCACACTAGAAGCAGTTACCTTGATAAGAGAAGCCAACCTTCTTCTCCCTCTCCTATCACCGATGTCTACTTCACTCTTAATACTTGAATCATATCCAGGAACTCCCTGGGAGGCTAATTACAAAGTCAACCCTAGGAAGAAAAATAACTACAAGATTCTCCTAATTTAAATTGAGGACTGTGTGTTTGTATGAACCTGTTAATTCAGTGTACTCTTCAGTGACTTTGGTTTCAATGTACCATCTAAACTGATTGACTTTTGAACTCAGTTAAATAAAAATATGAAAGGAAGAATCTCTTGGTATGTGTGCAGGAAATTATCCAAATAATCACAGAGAAGGAAGCATTGAAATGGATTTTCTCGAGTAGCCCACTTGTATCTCTTTAATCATGTCCCCCACACCAAGGCTTTTAGAGAATCATTCTAAGAAAAGAGGTGAAAGACCTCTACAATGAAGACTACAGAATATTAAAGAAAGAAATTGAAGAAGACCTTAGAAAAATGGAAATATCTCCCATATTCTTGGGTAGGCAGAATTAATATTATCAAAATGGCCATACTACCAAAAGCATTGTATGGATTTAATGCAATTATTATTAAAATTCCAATGACATTCTTCATAAAAATAGAAAAAACAATCATGAAATAAATTTGGAAAAATAAGATGCCCATAAGAACTAAAGAAATCCTTAGCAAGAAAAGTAATGCAGGAAGCATCACATTACTAGGCCTTAAATTATACTACAGAGCTATAGTAGTGAAACTGGCATGGTATTAGAACCAAAACAGACATGAAGACCAATGGAACAGAAGGAGAGACAGAGACATACCCACATAAATACAGTTATTTCATACTAGATAAGGCTCCTTAAACATACATTGGAGAAAGGACAGTCTTTTCAACAAATGGTGCTGGGAAAATTGGAAATCCATATGTAGCAGATTAAAATTGAACTCCTGTCCCTCAACCTGCACAAAACTCAACTCAAAGTGGATCAAGGACAAAGGCATTAGACCAGAAACCCTGGGCCTAACAGAAGAAAAAGTAGGTCCAACTCTCCATTATGTAGGCTCAGGAACTGACTTCCTCAATAAGACTCCTAAAGTGTAAGAAGGAAAATCAAGAATCAATAAATGGGATGGTATCAAACTAAAAAGCTTCATCATAACAGAGGAAACAATCAAGAATGTGAAGAGAAAGCCTACAGAATGGGAGAAAATCTTTGCCACCTGCACCTCAGATAGAGCACTAATCTCCAGGATATACATAGAACTCAAAAAGCTTAACACAAAAAAAATAAATAAATAATAACCCATTCAATAAATGTGCAAAGGAACTGAACAGACACTTCACAGAAGAAATACAAATTGTCAACAAATACATGAAAAAAATGTTCAATATTTCTAGCAATAGAGAAGTGCAAATTAAAACTACACTGAGATTCTATCTTACTCCA